TTTGTAGGGTCACTGGAGTCTTATTTTGAAAGTCTAGTAGTAGTGTGTTGAGAAAAGGGTCAGACCCCAGCAGTGATACTTGATGACTTTCCAATCATGAAATCACTCTTTCCCCTGTTATTAGGGCAGTAGATGAAGTGGCAATGGGAGGCTTTTATTTTGAAATTTTCTGTGGGGTGTGTTTTGAAAACCCCCTAGAGTCTCATTTTTAAAAAAGTGGTTGAGTTTGGGTCATAATGTTGAGCCATATCCTGAGAAAAAAATATGAGTTTAATGTAGGAGCTTTTATTTTGAAGGGTCCCCGGAGTCTTATTTTGAAAGTCTATCAGGGTTGCGTGTGAAGGGAAGGGTCATGGCCAGTAGTCATATTGTATCCACTTCCTAATGTTAAATCAGTGTTGTCTCCCTCCATTAGATTAAAATGTGCTGTTTAAAGTGGTGGAGGTAAAATCTCTTTGAAGCACGATTACCTTGACAACGCTTAACGAGCCTGTCAGTGACAGAGACACATGCGCTTCACTTTCGTTCCTTTCCTCTCAGGCTTTTTTGAATGGGAATTTCAGCTCCGAACAAACAAGTGCTGAAGACAAACCGTAAATGGTATCTAAAAAATTCTTTCAGTCTAAGCGAGAGCTATCCTTTGTCTCCAATTGGGGTAACTTTCATGGCTGTAGCTCATTCACAGCCTTAATGGGAAGGAGGAATAAAAAGGTTTGAGAAATCCTGCTGGTCTCATTGAATAACATGCAGCACAATGGTAGAGCAGAACTCTCAAAAGCAAAACTTTCCCTCCGAACAAACGAGCGGTGAGCCAAAACCGTATTAGGTATTCAAAAAATTCTTTCACCGTGAGCGTCAGCGATCTTTGGACTACAACTGGTGTAACTTTCATATTTCTACAATATTTTGTCTAGGCGTGGTGACGATGTAAAAAAGTGTATAATTGTCAAAATCTTGATTTTGGGGTTCAGACAGATTTGTTACCCCCGAACAAACCTTTTTCCTAGCTAAACGATAAAAGATATCGACACACTTCCTTCAATGTGAGTGCTAGGAAGGTCTGAGGAACAACTTCCACAAGGCTCGTGTTGCTACGTCAAACGGATCCCGAATGGGAGCGATACGAAAAAGTCTGTTTTTTTGAATTTTCAGTTCGGATTTTCAGAGAGCTCTCATTGGATTTCTATTGGAGAAGTGTGGACTTCTTCGTGGTCTGGGCCCAACTGTCGGAAAACCGTAAATGCCACACAGATGAGGGTTACATTTCCTGAATCCTGACAAAAATCCCTACGTCTTGATGTATAATTTATTTCAATTGAGTTAAAAATGAGGGACTGAGAAGAATTTGTTCGGAAAAACCAGAACAGCTCAAAAGCTAGAGCACGCACTCTAACAGTTGAAGAATTCCGTCCATAGACTTCCATTATAAATCTTAAAATCTTAAAATTTTCTTTTAAAGTTTGAAGCTTCACTGAAGCAAAACTGTAAAAGTTAGCAGGAAGCCGAGTTAAACGGTAATAGCAGAAAGATACGGAAACATTTTAAAAGTTGAATGGTGTTTCTAGCTGAAAGTATGCTAAAGTAGTTAAAGGTCAAAGATGATGAAGGTTTAGCTGAATTATGCTGAAATCTAAGAATTCTACATGCATTTCAATGGGACAAAGAAAACGCAGAAAAAGCTGAATATCGCGAAAACTACAAAAAATATCTTTACCAAAAGACATAGCAGAATTCTCCCGAACAAGCTGAACGTTTTGATACCAAAATTGTTGAAATCAGTTGAAAACTGCGGGACTAGTTAGAGTCAGAAAAATTAAAAGTGAAAAACAATAAGTGGGAATGCATAAGCATTCCCACTTGATTATATCAGCTGTTAGCTAGCTACTGATAACTAGCCATATCCTACAACAATTTCATTGGATTAATTTCAATTTACATACTTCAAAAATGAACTTACTATTGATATTATTGATAAATAATGTCCGTTATTCAAATGAAACAAGAGAAACTAAGTGATGTTTGAATCCAGTCCAAGGTTCAGTCTCAGGCAAAACTGCAAAAATACAGAAAGAAAAACACAAATTAACTTTCAGCTGACTGGTAAACACCCCCCCGTCCTCCATTATCATTAGGAAATTGTATTTTGAACAGCAGAAAATTTGGTATTTAAAAATTGCTGACATTTTTACCCTTCCCAAATGTTACTGACTTCTCTTACCTTCGACCAAACGCGGGAACAAGTTCTAAAGAGAACGACTTGTTATACACGTAAACGGCTTTGTTGACGTCACAACCAACGGTTTTTACCGATTTGAACGAAAACAGAATTGTGGACTTTTAACTGCCACTCAAGGGGTTAATGGCGCATTTCATATTTGAGAAATAAACTCTTCCTTAGGGCTTAAAAACTGGATTAAACCGGCCGTTTTCATTCTCGTATCGTAGATAATAAAACCTTTATTACATTTCTACTGGTTAATCAAGGTTTTGAGCAGCATTTCAATTAGAAATTCGTATTATAATTTTTTTTTTTCAAAATGGCGCGTTGGGCCACAGACATAGAACCTGCCTCATCAGCGGTGAGAGGCAGCTGAATGACCATATTTGGTCAAATCAAGCTGCTTTCAGAGACAACTGAGGCTAATTATATATATATATATATATATATATATATATATATATATATATATATATATATATATATATATATATATATATATATATATATATATATATATATATATATATATATATATATATATATATGTATATATAATTTGCATAAAAACAAATAGGTTGACCATTACCTAAGAAGTCTTGACAATAACAAAAAATAAAAATGAAAGTTAATAACAATACTACATAATAACTTTATTGTAAATCCCCAAAGCAAATGTTTCCTCTATAGATAATACTGATTATTAAAGAGTAATCCTTAAACATACTGAATAATAATTATATACTGTATAAAGTATTTGTATAATATATTACAGTATATTCATATAAAACTTTGTGTTAATCATATTAATATTTAATTGCAAAATATATAACTTTGCATATATCTATAAGCTTGAGCTCAGTTTAAATGGTTTTAGTCTGAGTAAATATGTTTGTTTTGTTCTTTTAAGGGGTTGTCACATGTAAGATATTATTGTGATATTGATATGTCTTCTATGGGACAAATCAGCACCTGCCTGAACTGTGGTCTGATCCAAGATGACCGCCCTATAGGCATGTCGGCCTTGCTGCCTGCCATATTAAGGCAAGAACACACCAGCTGCATACAACTTGTTTTTTAATTTTTCATAGATCATAAACAAAAAGCAAACTAATTAAAAACATAAAAGAATTGATATAAAGCAAGACACACAAACAGAAAAAAACTAAAATAAAAGGACAACAATAAATTAATGAGGAGGAAAGGTGTTCTGTTAATTTAGCCTTATGTACCAATACTTACATTTGACATTTCCACAGAATATATCTAATATTCAATTCACTTGATTTATATAGCGCGAATTCACAACACGTCATCTCAAGGCACTTTACAATTCAACCAGATCTTACATTCAAATTGATTAAAAGTTTTCTATATAAGGAAAACCAGTTGATGCATTGAGTCATTGACTCGAAGGCAATCCCTCAAGTTTATCATGCTTGTAGCGACAGTGGAGCGACAGTGTCGCAGCCAAACAGGAACAGACCAGACGAAGCTACTATGAGAAAAAGCAGAGAAAGCATAGGGTCAGAGATTGAAATTACAAATTCTACAGTGTGGGAGAATAGAGAAAGAATGAAGAAGAATGATGAAAATGGGTCCCCTATGTCCTCCAGCAGTCTAAGCCTATAACAGCATAACTATAGAAATAGCTCAGAGTAACCAGAGCCACTCTAACTATAGTTCAAGTTAGTTTATTGCTACCGGTAATATAAATGTCTGAAATAAATGGCACCCTCATGAACCACTGGCCTGAAATGCCCCCCAAGCAATACCCAGCATGAACAGGTGCTGGGGGCTCTGACAGAGAAGGCAGACTCTCTAGTTCTCCTGTAGTTGGTACAGATGGACTTTCCCAACATGTTGGTTTAGAACAGGGGAAACCAATTAATAATCGTCCGGGTCCGAATAAAGACCATCATCAACCAGTAAAGGTCCGGAGAAATTTATAATTATAATCCATTAATTTAAACAGCATTTAACACTGAAATAAAATGCAGGTGTTTATGCATCCATCTTATACATTGAATTTTATAAAAAAAAAAAAAAAAAGTTTTTCCATTTTAAAATCTAAATAGTTTTTGAATCTTTCAGTTTGGTATAAACAGTTTCCTGTCTCACTTTCTATATAAAACACTTGAACTGACACATTTTGAGCCTTGATCAATATTTATTTTTGATAATGTTCATGGTGGAGAATCCTGCTTCACAACAGCAGGTTGAGCCAAACATAATCAAGATATACAGGGTCATCTTTGAGCACATTATTTCACTTTTCTTTCACTGCTCTTTTTCTCGTCTTCTTTCTGGTAACCCAGACTGACACAACTCATTGGCTAATTTGTAGCCTGGATAACAGTAAATGACTTTGGTTTCCCAGTATTTACTCAAGCAGTGATGCTGCGTAAAGCTGCAAACACTCCAGCAGCCTCGTATCTCAGCACCAGGACTGAGCTGTAGAACCGGGCTGTGACAGGAGGAACACCGCACTGGCTTAATGAGGCGAACAGCTGACAGAAGCAAACGAGGACATTGCTGGTTTAAAGCACAATTACATTTTTATTATACACATTTTTAAAGAATATTCAAATCTTAGCTTATTGTACTCTGATGGTCCAATAAGGTCAGACAGCAGCTCAATGGTAGCTCTCATCCCTCCTTGTTCTTCTGCTTCAGCTTGTTCTCCTGCTCTTTCCGCTTCTGTCTGCCGAGCTGTCTGAAGTACAGCCTTTTGGGGTTCAGCCCGTACACTCAAAAAAAGCAAACTGGGTGTCTGTTACCTTATCTTATGTCTAACATGTAGCTTCTACTATATAAAATCATGTTTTGTGGTTGAACAGTTTTAAATCATGTAGATTTAGCATAAAATGCAACAACTTAAAATTTACTTGAATAATTTATGTTAAAACAACCTAATTCTAATGGGTTAAGATTGCAAATCAATAACACTCCAAAGCAGTAGGTGGCAGTAATGAGCACATTCCCCTCTCTTGAAGGCCACGGTCAAAGGTGAGTGAGTCCCCGACTCTGGCTGGCAGAAGGAGTAGACATTTTGAAAAGAAATTTCAAGTGTGGAAGAAGGTAAGTTTAATCTTTTATCATCCATCGAACAGAAAACAATACGGCAGCAGACATGTTACAGACAGTTAGTTATTGTCCTCTTTTGCATTTTGGATTATTTATTTGTTACTGGGCGTTTTATTAGAGTGCATTAATATATCACACTGTCGCCATGCTCATAGCTAACTAAGCTTACAAGCTAGCATCCTGAGGTCGACGGCATGGTTGACAACGCGTGCGGATTCATTTACAAAATGAGCTAAGAGCTGATGCAGGCATGGCTGGTGGGGGATAATTGCCTGCGTTTGGTGAATGTAGCTGCAGCTAAAAGGCTCCAGTCACATAGGCTACATTAATAATAATAGTGGTGATGAATTTCCCCCCAATCCGAATCTTGGCTTCACGTGGAGTCCGCAGAAAGCTCGGCACTTAACAGTCATTAGCTCTAAGTTTGGAAACTACCACGGCATCTCGGCACCTTGGCGGGGTTTCTATGTCAACTCCACGTAGCATTAGCTCATCCAGCTACTAACATCAACACAGTAGTTCTTCGCACTATGGAGCTTTCCACAGTCAGATTTTATTCACTTTGTTGACGAGGGAACAAATGTGTGCTACCATAAATGTACTGTTGTGCTGTAGCCCAGCTAGGAAAGCAAATCGTTACCATATTTCAAATGAAAAAGCATTTTCAGAAATGCTTTTTCATTTTAAGAATGTGGCTGCATTGTTTGACTCATAAATGAAATTAGTAATCAATCATCCTGTTTGCATTTTAAATTTCTTCTTTAATGCTTCTCATCATTTTACTTAATTAAAATAAAAAAGAAAAATACATTTGAGATTTATTTTTTGAAAATGTACCCCAGAAAATACATACCAAAAATAAATTTGAAATGTAAATTTTGAAAATGAAAAAGTATTTTCAGAAATGCTTTTTCATTTTAGGAATGTGATTGCATTGTTTGCCTCATAAATTAAATTAGTAATTAATCATCCTATTTCCATCTTGAATAAATGCACAGCACTCATTAACTTTGATTGAAATATGTACAGTGTGATTTATATCAGCCAACAAAATGTGGGCTAGCCTTGGAAATAACTTGTAAGCTGATTTAGGATTTGGTGGTAGATGACAATTGTTAAACTAGTCGGTCATTTCAATGCTATGATAGTTAAATTTACTTTTGTGTACCCTTTCTGTTTAAGCTAACTGCTGAATTTAAGAGGATTACAACCATCAGTTTGCTGTCAAAGTTCTTCTCCCAGCTGGATGCTCATTCTTCAAACTTGATGAGGGTGTTTGGCAAGAAAGGCGGCGTTCAAGGAAGAAAGATAAGGAGCATCATGATACCCATCACCAAGGTATGATAATAGAATAAAATAGAAATTGTCAAACCTGTACCGATTCAATATTCTAAACTTAATGCTTGAAATTTAAAGCGGAAGTTTCAGAGGGATGGAGAGAAATAAAACTAGATGGAGAGGGGTGTAATGTACTTTTATGAAGAAGGATCTGATAAAATTTTAACCTTGGGCAGATGTGACAATGTCCACTGATGTTGCAATGGTAGGTTCTGTTTCCTGGGACCACATGCTTACATTTGACATATTTCTATGATAAAATGTCTTGCTGGTACATAAAACCAATGCACCCATGGATATTGTAAGTTCATATATCATAAAAATTGTCAATGATTTTTACATTTTGAAGAATGTATTATTTAAAGTTTTGTTTGTAAAATCTTCTACCAGTTGATTAAAATGTTTTATCTTTAATTTATTGTCCTACATACTCAGACTGACGCCATTGATGTCAAAAGAGAGTGAATCATCAAAGCCCTGTGTGTGTACCTGAATGAAGAGCCCGAGAACCTTGTGAAAGAATACATGGTATGTAATTTAGTGTGTTTAAAAATGGGACCAGTATAACATATCTTTACATGTATATCCTCTATTTCCCCCTTTTTTCTGTGAAGAACACAGATTGTGGGAGCAGTGAAGCTGCAGTGATGGAGACGACATTTGGAATATTTGTCATTCGCAAGGAAGGTGCAGAGCCAGGTGATGGACCGGAAGATGTAGGTATAGTTCTGGATGGGCTCGGAAACGTGCCACTTGCTGTGGTCATGTTGTTTGCGCTTGTATATGCGCTTAACCTCAGCTACCCGCCAGAGCTCAGATACACCTTTGAAGCTTTGCAGAAGATCATCGTGGAGCTTGATGGAAACATACTCTCAAAAAAAACTCAAACACTGAAAACTCTACTTGCGTGTTAGTCACCCTCAATAGAGTAAACTACAGGTTTGGAGTTACTCTAATGGGAAGGCATTTGAAGCCATTTGAGTAGTTACTGAACTGAAAGCTGTGTTTGTGTTTTAATACATCCTGTTGCTATTTTGGGTTTACAAAATAGAATGTTTTGAAATGTTTCTTTATGCAAAGGTAAGGTTTTAAAACAAATTGTTATTTTCTAAAGAAAACTATTTTGATATGGATGCATTATGCTGTATTTTGGTTGTTCTCAAATATTGGTCTTTGCACTCAGTTGACAGGACCACTTTCTGCGTATAACTTTGTAAAGGGCTTTGCTGAAAGCTCTAAATATACAGGTGCTGGTCATAAAATTAGAATATCATGAAAAAGTAGATTGATTTCAGTAATTCCATTTAAAAAGTGAAACTTGTATATTATATTCATACATTACATACAAACTCATATATTTCAGATGTTTATTTTGTTTAATTTTGATGATTACAAATGACAACAAATGAAAATCTCAAATTCATCATATCAGAAAATTAGAATATTGTGAAAAGGTTCAAAATTGATGGCCCCTGGTGCCACACTCTAATCAGCTAATTAACTCAAACCACCTGCAAAAGCCTTTAAATGGTCTTTCAGTCTAGTTCTATAGGCTACACAATCATGGGGAAGACTGCTGACTTGACAGTTGTCCAAAAGACGACCATCGACACCTTGCACAAGGAGGGCAAGACACAAAAGGTCATCGCTAAAGAGGCTGGCTGTTCACAGAGCTCAGTGTCCAAGCACATTAATAGAGAGGCGAAGGGAAGGAAAAGATGTGGTCGAAAAAAGTGTACAAGCAAGAGAGATAACCGCACCCTGGAGAGGATTGTGAAACAAAACCCATTCAAAAATGTGGGGGAGATTCACAAAGAGTGGACTGCAGCTGGAGTGAGTGCTTCAAGAACCACCACACACAGACGTATGAAAGACATGGGTTTCTGCTGTCGCATTCCTTGTGTCAAGCCACTCTTGAACCACAGACAGCGTCAGAAGCGTCTTGCCTGGGCTAAAGAGAAACAGGACTGGACTGCTGGTGAGTGGTCCAAAGTCATGTTCTCTGATGAAAGTAAATTTTGCATTTCCTTTGGAAATCAAGGTCCCAGAGTCTGGAGGAAAAGAAGAGAGGCACTTCATCCACGTTGCTTGAAGTCCAGTGTAAAGTTTCCACAGTCAGTGATGGTTTGGGGTGCCATGTCATCTGCTGGTGTTGGTCCATTGTGTTTTCTGAGGTCCAGGGTCAACGCAGCCACATACCAGGAAGTTTTAGAGCACTTCATGCTTCCTGCAGCTGACCAACTTTTTGGAGATGCAGATTTCATTTTCCAACAGGACTTGGCACCTGCACACAGTGCCAAAGCTAGCAGTACCTGGTTGAAGGACCATGGTATCCCTGTTCTTAATTGGCCAGCAAACTCTCCTGACCTTAACCCCATAGAAAATCTATGGGGTATTGTGAAGAAGAAGATGCAATACACCAGACCCAACAATTCAGAAGAGCTAAAAGCCACTATTAGAGCAACCTGGGCTATCATAACACCTGAGCAGTGCCACAGACTGATCGACTCCATGCCACGCCGCATTGCTGCAGTAATACAGGCCAAAGGAGGCCCAACTAAATACTGAGTGCTGTACATGCTCATACTTTTCATGTTCATACTTTTCAGTTGGCCAACATTTCTATAAATCCTTTGTTTTTATTGGTCTTCAGTAATATTCTAATTTTCTGATATGATGAATTTGAGATTTTCATTTGTTGTCATTTGTAATCATCAAAATTAAACAAAATAAACATCTGAAATATATGAGTTTGTATGTAATGTATGAATATAATATACAAGTTTCACTTTTTAAATGGAATTACTGAAATCAATCTACTTTTTCATGATATTCTAATTTTATGACCAGCACCTGTAGACACCTAATGACAGGGGGCTCCAATTTCCTAACTCAGGAGTTACAACTTTTGTTTGTCTATCTGTTGTAGTTTTTTTACAGACATGATGTTGGACACTGTTTCAGGCTGTATTGTTTGTTGTATTTTCACAACGTAGTCATTTTTAAAGTAAAGTGATTTCAACAAATCCAATTTAGTTCATGTTTTTCTTTTCCAAACTTGACACCAGCTGGGGGTATATAGGCTGACATGTACATTTTAAATAGCTGAATATGTATACGTTAAAAATGATTTATTTTGTTAATAATTACTTATGTTCATTTTCATATGATAAAGTTAATCTCTTACCTAACTTTGTTTTGTGGGCTCAGCACAATAAATTCATGTACTGTACTATTTTGAAAAGTAGTTGTAACTACCCTATTAAATTATGTACCTAATAATCCTATCATACAAGTTTAAATGGCTTAAGAAAATTATGTTAGTATGTTACATTTACCTATATTTATCTAGTTGGACTGACCCCTGGTAATTAAGTAATAGTAATGCAAATACAACACGTTGACCCAACATATTTACCCTTTGTTCACTTAACAAAATTGCTTCTCGCTAAATTAATGCATTTTATTTAGGTGGAAATTATTTCCATAATTTTATTACGTTCTGGGAACAAGTTTTTTTTTTGAGTGTAGGCCTTCAGTCTCTGTCTGCTGAACTCCCGGCCACCTATTTTCACCCTCTTGGTTCCTGGTTGGAGGCGTCCACCTAACCTCCTGGGCTTCTTCTTGGACCATGCAGTCCTGTTCTTGCCTTCTTTTCGTTTCTCTGCTGTCTGCTCCGCTGTATCCTTGGTTTGCTCTTCTAGCTTCTTCTTCTTCTTGGGTACCAGGATCTCCTCTCCTTCCTCAGTGTTGTCCAAAGCCTCGTTGAGAGCTTGAAATGTCTCCTCTGCAGAATCCATGCTCGCTTCTTCCGCTCCTGTGATCTGCTTATCGGCGTTCTTCAGACGGTCTCGCCGTTTCTTTCCCAGCTTGGTCTTAGCCTCAGTTGTTTCTTTGTCCTCCCTGCAGATCAGGAAGGGATCAACACCTTCACCTTCTAACCACGGTAGAGATGGGAGTCCAGCTGCTTAAAGTTCTACTCACTCAGAATACACAGAGCTCAGGACTTCCTTCTTCTTCCTCACATTCTGTGCCTTCACTTTATAATTCTTCAGAACACACAGCTCCTCCTTCTCAGACCTTAGGAAGCAAAGACAGACGTTACTAAATGATAGGGTTAGGTCAGTACCTGAACATGCAGGTCTTCCTCAGAGAGCACCAGCGGTTCAGCTCCTGGTCGTTAGCATTCAAGATCTGAGGTAAAAAAAAAAAAAAAAAAGGTTATTTCTCTGAATTAAAACAAGTCCACATAATAAAGCCATCTGCTTTAGGTAGCAGCTTCATCTCACTGGAATATGGTCTGCTCAGAGAGAAGATTGGAGTGGGATCATTCCCTGGTCAGAGATCTCCCCGGAGGAAGGCAATACCAGATCAGAAGGAACACATCTCATCACTGCAGAGTAAAAACCACTGAGCTCCATCCATTAAAGCTGCACATCAACACCTCACATACCATCAAAATCATATTTAGTTTTTAATGATGCACTTAAACCATGCAAGGTTCAATCAGACAGTTTTCAAAGCAATAACTGATAAGGATACCTTATGTATCTTGGGCATCGATCAGGCTGCTGGTGCGGTTGACGAGCTTACAAAGGCTGTGAGTCGTTTGCTGGGTGCGATTGAATGCAGGCTGACTGCGGTGGTTGAAGTCAAATGTGAGATGGGATCATATCCTGGATGTGCACGCTCGCTTCAAGGCAGAGAAGCCTGACAATTTCTCCATGTTCGCCATGTGGAGCCAGAATTTACAGGCTCACAGTAAATTCTGTGCAGCCTGCTCTCAAAACGAAAAGTGTTATTTAGGATTCAGCACCCCCCTTATCAAATCTATGTTATGGTGTTATGGTGGAAGGGGCCCGAACTGCAAGGACCCCTCCACCTCCCCTACCCACAAAAACCTGTGGATGTGTCCAGAACTGTAGCGCCGGTTGATAAACTTCCATCTCATGAAGCACAATGGCCTGCAGACAGCGTTCATGGACAAACTGAATGCACAACACACACACAACTAATGCTCAAATGTCTTTCAACTGACTTTAATGTGGCTCCAGACACCAATATTTTCCTTCCGGTGAAATGTTTGTCCCGTGTTAAATGCAGTGATGGGAGTAACAGCGTTACCAACGCCGTTACCTTTTTTAGTAACGAGTAATCTAACTAATTACTTTGACTGCAACTATAACGCAGTTACCCTTGCAGACACCCCGTTACTGCACGTTACTCACGTCGCACAATGAACCTTTTTTTCATGATAGGACTCGTGCGCGCCTTGTCATGAGAGAGGGGAGGATGAGATTGGCTGTTACGGGTGTTAACGTACAGCACACACAGAGAGATGGAGAGTGAAGAGGGCTCCAGCAGCAAAACAGCGTTTTCCAGATGGAAATACTGGTGTTACGTCGAGCTGCGTTTCCCCATCAGATACGGTTTCCCCTGCATCTCCGCACAGTGCAGGCGGCAAGCGACATGAAACACGCATGCTCGCTAAAGGCGCGTAACAGCCGCCCTGTGCTGGCGCCACAGGGGAACTACGGAGAGCGTGAAGGATAAAATGTTAGCCGAAAGGGAGAAATCGGGAGGGAGGGAGGGATAGATAGATACTATGCCTTTTCAACCTACTGTATTTTTAATTTTAATTATTTGATGGGCTTTGTGGCAGGGATGGAGATCCATATTTTAATGTCACACACAGAGTATAGATAGATAGATAGATGTTGCAGTATCTATAACAACCCAAACACAGAGGATTTCAGAATTAGACATCCCCAGTTATTAATTTCATACACTCACCAGATCTGAACGTCCTGTTAAAAAACTTCACACCCATGAGTAGAGGTAATGCAGCCTGATGATATTTACACCGCATCAGATAGCGTTCCCCCCATGTTAAGCAGGGGGAACACTATCTGCCGGGGTTTATAGCCTAGATATAGTATCTCATCACTATGAATCTGTCTATATTTTTGCTCCATTTAGTTACTACAGTACATCTAACATTTACTGTATATGCGACATATATCTGGGTGGCAAGGTCCTTCAACTTCTTCAAGGTCTGAGGGTAAAAGTTAATCCTCAAAATAAATTTCACATTGGGTGGGAAAAGCCAGACACTGATCAAGCGGTGAAAGATGCAGCTCCTGAAAAAAAATATCTGACAGCAAATGGCACAGGACCGGTAGCTGTCGTAGGCAGAAGTCTAAGCACAGGAGTAGTCTGACTGCGCAGGTGAGCAAGAATGTCATGCATACCTGATACCAGCTGGGAAATTTTACCAGTTTTCTATGCCAGAATGCCCTTGTTTGTCCATTTAGAGGCCAGATTATTCTGTCAAGGCTCAGAACAGTAAGATTCAGTATTCAAGGCAAGCATAGAGTTAGGCTTGTCAAAACTTTTATTTGAAACTGAATCGAAGTGGGCAGTTTCGGCGTCTAAGAAGTAATCTCTGCTCTTATAGTTTAGTCTGAGCCCAGAGGGAGAGGTTCATTGCAACTGATCAGCTGCCAATGCAACACAGCAGTTGCGTCACAGAGAGTCCCAGATGCTGATATATCGGTGTTCAGAGTACAGGAAGGAGATCAAAACCAAGCAGGCGAAGGTAGGCAGGATAATCCAGAGGGCGAAGCCAAATCCGATGTTGCTAACGTGCTCAGTGTCATGTTTGGTTTCAGGTTTCTAACCCACGTGCAGAACACTCATCAGACAGGGGAAAAGTTCAAAGGTTTATTAAAGGATTTGTACAATAAACAGGTTAGGGGGTTATCAGATCCAGGACTGGACACCACAGGGTTCACTGCAGAGGGGACAGAGGAGTTAGCAGAAGTCCAGGTAATATGTAGGATGTGGAGGTGAAGGTCTGTACCTGTTCTGGAGTTTGAGCTGAGTGGCAGAGGGGGGGAACCAGGAGGGTCCAGAGGCTGTCGGCAGGCTGAGGGCTTGGTGGAGGCAGAGCTTGGTTTGAGTGTTTTCAGATCACAGGTTTGAGTTTCCCTTCCAGATTCTTCAGAGAGCAGGCAGGCAGGTCCTTGACAGGTTTGATTCTCCAGGGTTCTTCAGAGATCAGACAGACAGATTTCCAACAGAGAAACTCTTCAGGGTTTCTGGTTTCAGACAGGTTAAACCTGGGAAGCAGAGAAGACAAAACAGATCAGGTTCTGGTTCAGGTATTCTGGGAGTCAAAGATTCAGACAGGCAGGTTGGCTCAGGCTTGCTAACCATAACTGGCAAACACTCTGGCGCTGGGGTGATGTCCTCTGCCTCCTTATATACTGGTCTCCTGATGAGCAAACGAGCAACAGGGGGTGGCAATCAGCTCCAGGAGACCCAGAACGCCCTCGGGAGGAATCCTTGGCGCCCTCTGGTGGGCAAAAGTGGACAGACCACCTGATCCCAACACTCAGTTGTCAGCTCCAAATGACACAAAACTCATATGGGTGAGTAGAACATGATGTAATAACGTAAAATCAAGGACCCAATGCAAAAAAAAAAAACTGGCGTTCTCTCCAGGGATGATATGTAAATATAATGCTTTTCCCTCTGCCCTCCTCTCTCCCCTGAACTCATCCGTGAAGCTGCCTTGTTGGTTGGATGATGAACTGTTACATCAGTTAAGGACATTGATCCACAGGTTCATGGACTCACTTGCACACACACTGCTCAGATATCATATATGCACCTCGCATCCTCATTGACGTTCCTAAAAGAGGTCACGTTATCTGTGTTGGCTTTTAAGCTGTTTTCTTTTTTTCTTTGCAATCTCAAACTGTGTCCTGCTAAGGATAAGGTATGAAATATTTTCCCTCCACTTACCTATTGTAATCGCTTTCTTTGGGTTTCAGAATCAGAAATACTTTAATAATCCCAGAGGGAAATTACTTAATTTCCTACTATAAAGGGGCAGTGCCTTTTTTTTTTTATACTCTTTATTTAACATTTTTCATTACAATAAAACATACAACACACACAGAACTTGGGGCACTGATACTTAGATAAGTAGAAAGACAGAAACAAAATAATACATTACAAGATGATACACCTAGTTATGCTTCCTTGCTCTTGTACGTCAGCCATTTAGACCAGCGTTTGTTGTATGAATGACCTTTCATACGTAAAAGATATGTCAGTTTTTCCATAGAGTGAATCTCCTCCACGACATCTCGCCAGTGGTCCAGCTGGGGTGGCAGTTTCTTTAGCCAAGACCGTGTAATTGCTTTTATGCTTGCAATTGACAGAACTCTAAAAAGATACTGATCTTCTTTTTGAAACACTTTTCCAGACATCAATCCCAGCAGAAAAATTCTAGGGTCATTGGGGATTGCATACCCCAAAATTATCCCAGTTGTCTGACAGATTCCATCCCAGTAAGTTGCCAACTTTGGGCAGGACCAAAATACATGAGAGTGATTGGCGTTCTGATGACCACACTGTCTCCAACATTGCTGTTCTTCTCCTCTATATCTACTAGTAATTTGAGGTGTAATAAAGTAAATGATTAAGCCCTTCCATCCGAATTCCTTCCATCTTTTGGAACTAGTAGATGTCTGTTGTGTCACACACATTGAAAGCCAATCATCCTCTGTAATTATAACTCCCAATTCTCTTTCCCATTTAGACTTAATGTTTAAGGTGTTATTTCCATTATGTTCCTGCAACCCTTTATATAGTTTGGAAACAGTTTTACAAGGGAGGTGAGTATAAGCTTTCGTAAAAATGTTCACAATAATATTACCTTCTGGAGGAACACCTTTTTTTATTTTCGTATTGTAAAAATGCCTTACCTGGAAATATTTAAATAAATCTCTGTTCTCAAGATTATACTCCCTTTTCAGTTGCTCAAATGTTTTGAAGGTGTTACCTTCTACAAACTGGCTCAAAGCCACAAGTCCTCTATATTTCCAGCCCAAAAAAGAAGAATCTAATTCTCCTGGCCGAAAGTTTGAGTTACAGGAGGGCCACATCAGGAGTCCAGTGACATCCGCTAATCTGTATCTATCAACCACTTCCTTCCAGATTAACAATGTGCTTTCAACTATACCATTCCCATTTTTGTCTGTGACTATTTTACCTCCCAGACGTGTTTGGGGTTGGGCCCCACCCTGCCTTAGTTCTATCTGTTTCCATCCAGTCTCCATTTCTGGGGAGCACCAGCAGACCATGAATCTCATCTGAGATGCATAATAGTATTCCCTCAGATTTGGAAGGGCCAGACCACCCTGGTCCCTATTAATTTGGAGTATTTTAAATTTTATTCTTGGTCTGGTCCCGGACCAAATAAATCTGGAGATCAATCTGTCCCAGGCATGGAACTGTGCGTTAGATATTCTAATAGGCAATGACATGAAAAGATATAAAAATCTAGGAAGCAGATTCATCCTCACTATTTCCATTCTAGCTGTGAAGTCCAACAATAACCTTGACCAGGCTGTCAAGTCTTTTTGTATGTTTTTAGTAAGGTTATCAAAGTTCAAACTAAATAACTCGTCCAAATCTTGAGAAACAAATACTCCCAGGTATTTTAGCTTTTTGGCATCCCACTTAAGTCCATAGGTCTTTCTTATAAATTTACAAGGGGAGTAGTTAATTGCCAGGACCTGTGTTTTTGTGATGTTTAGACTGTAGCCCGATAATTGACCAAATTCGAGGCAGTGCCTTTTTACGACAGCAAGACCCAAACATCCCATTACCCCATATCTGTATGTATTTGTCTGTGTGTTTTGTCTTTTCTTATCGACTGTACCAAAACTGAAATTTCGCTATACTGGAGAGCCACTCTAGCCTGGGTGACAAATAAAGAAATCTTGAAGGTATGATACACAGACACACAGAGATCCGGCATGAGTCAGGAGACAGGTCAGGCAAACAGAGCAGACATGGCCAGGCAGGCGCAGAGGTCGAGAGGCAGAACAGGTCAGGATCAGGTAATCAGAATACAGGTATGCTAGAATTCTTCTCACCAATGACTTGAAAATAATCTGGCACTGATGACTGGTGCCGTGGGAATAAAGTATTCAACTATTCATCCTAGTTAAATAAACAGAGATCGATGGATTTCACTCAGTCGGCACATTTATTCATATCTTTGCAAAGAGAGAACAGTCATCATACAGCCCTAATGGCACAGCATTCTGCCCTGTTCTGATCTGGACAGCGTTCGTTCCCCCCTACTTACAACAATGGAAAGTAGTCAAAGTCAAAACAAATTAGAGCCACTTTGGTTAACAATAACATGTTATGAATAAACCTTGAGAAAAAATCTGGTTTGTTATGGGAAGAAGCTATGTCTGGTCGACAAACAACCATCCTGCAGAGAATTGTGTGGCCTTGAAAGTGAAACAGACTATAAATTAATATATAATAGAAGAGAGATAAAAATTTTCCGACAACACTGGTCTGAAGGCTCACATTACAGACTAGTACAGGTGGATGTAATGAGCAGGTAAGGCGAACTCGGCCGGGCCAATCAGGTGTGTGAAATGAGTAATCACAACAGACATCAGGGCCAAGATTGTGACAGTTAGCGCATACAAGAACTCTGTTATCAATTTCAACCATCCTCCCTGACAGATCGAGGTGAGGCACACGCAGAATCAACAATTATAACTATAATATTGCATAGCTTTAGATGTTATTTGATTTGATTATTGTCAGGTCTAGCACCTAGAAAATCATATATTCATACAGGGAAAGAAAGGCACAGAGACAGTTAGTTTAGTTGTACTCGCGAGGAGAGAAGGAAGAGATCGTACAGTTACAATCACCAACCGACTCTGCCAGTCTCAACATCCTCTTCACTATTTATTAAAGTCAGGCGTTCCCTAGTTACAACAGCTGAGACTGCACTAAAGGGAAGGGGAAACAAGATAAGGAACTCAGGCTTGCAGTCTCAGTAGACATGTCAAAAACAAAGCATTTCAGTGGCTTGTGGTTAAATGTGTTCTGGAAACAGGATGTTTCAAGAATGGCTGGATTTGGTTGTTCTTAGGCTTTCACAACACTTCTCTGAAACAGACTTAACAAGTATTAATAAACAATGAATCACACATTATACATCATAATAACTTTTAGGCCTTTAAGCATGAAAACTATTAAGCATAAGTAAAAACATACGTATAAGCATAATTTTTCTAACAATTATGTTCATGTTTGTGTCATATCTTGTACAGATACCATGAAAATATTTCAGTAAAAAGTACATCATTTCAAGAATTTACATATGTTACTGGTCCTTTGTATATAAAACGGTAGCCTAAAAGCATCTACACTGCAAAAAATATAAATCTCAATAAGTTATTTTTTCTTAAAATAAGTGTGTTTTTCCTTGATTTGAGGAGGTAAGTAACACACTTTGCCAATGGAACAAGACAATTTCCTTTTAAAATAAGAAAAAACTATTTTATCGTCTTATTTCAAGTAAATATTATCTAACTATCTTATTTTAAGAGTGAAAATACTCATTCCATTGGCAAATCATCTTATTTACCTGCTCAAATTAAGGCTAAATATACTTAATTTAAGCCATTTTTTACTTATTTCTGGATTGTTTTTGCAGTGTAGTCAACCATAAAACAGACTTAAAATGGAGGCAACCAGATGTTTAGCAGTCTTTGTTAATTCTGACAGCTAACCCTAGAAAAAAAGTAGTTGGGGGTGCTGCTGATGTATAGGCAGTGTGGCCCATCCCCCTTTGCAGATCCCAAGTAAGATATAAATCAGTTAGACATCCACTATTCTGCTCGTTCACTGCTTGCTTGTTTACTTTTCCATCTGAATCTTGTTGTGATTGCATCGTAAATTATTTAGGATGAGTTTCAAGAAGTGGTTGTATGTGCTTGGGAGTCTGAAGCAGAACTAATTTGTGACATTTTACCCTTCTGTATACTTCACAACAAATAAGCTACAGTAGGATGAGTTTCAAGATTTCTCCAAGCTACCTTAGCCTACATGTTCACCCTTTTTGTCGACTCTAAAAACACAGTATATCAGGGTCTAAGAGTTTATTTAACTTGATTTAAATCAAGAAAAACATTACATTTTCAAATCATAATAATCTTTAAAGTTATTTAGGGTAAGACAAATATATAGTTAGCATGTCACAACATGACTGAAAAAAAATGTAATGGTAAAAATATTGAAATACATGTTGATTCAGTTTAACTCAACTTAATTAAGAACATAAAATGGAAAACAAAGTAGAAAGCAATGCAAATAAATTGTTTGCTTATTAAAGATGACTTGTCCCCAAAGTTTACATGATTGATATTTGTGATACATCTATTTTGGGATGATTTTTTTTAATTTATTTATTTTTTTTACTAAGCTGGCATAATTGCCTTTATTCAGTCTTAGTACATTAACTTTTTTTTTTCATAATGCTTTTAAATTTAAAACAAAAACATATACCATGATCAAATTGATTCAAATAAGACAGAAAAGGCAACATATTGTACATACACACCCCAAGTTCAGTACTAATGCTTTACATTTTAAAGATGACTTCTTAAATCACATCTTTGGCTTAATGAGAATTCACAAAATTAAGGGGGAAAAAAGAATAAGCTACAATATGAAGTTATTTATATGAAGTTAGAAATAATGATGATTGTAATTAAGTAATTTCAATAATCCTTAACTCAAGTATAACTCAATCACAACTGACATAACAAACCAAACACTCGAATGCTGAGCGACTAATTCTCCTAATACTTCAACAAAAGTTTTTTTTTCTTTTTTCTACTTTTAGGAAGAATCCAACTTTAGGGAGACAAATATTTATGAACAGTTGCATTTTTTCTTCTTTTACAAACTACACATTTCACTTAAGCTTTAAATGGCTTCCTCTTTACTGAGATGTTTCCATTCCTGAGGAATTTCTCCCCAACCCTTGAATTTCAAACAATAGTAGTTTTCCAGTTTCTTCTGGAAGTGGCAGATAAACCATTTCCAGTAGGCCAACATAGAAGCATCAGCTGTAATGCTCCATGTAGCATATTTTCCTCCAGCAGTTGGAAACTGTTTATAAGGAACGGTCCACTTTGAGTCATGTTCAGGGTAAAAGCTTCTGTCACTTGAAACTAATGAGGTGCAGAAATCAACAACCAGGTCGACTTTTCCTCTAACATGCCAACCTTTAATTCCAGAGGGTCGATGAAAAGGAACACTGTGTTTCTCAGGACTGTGATCCTTCAGAGTGTTGGTGCAAACAGCAGCACAGAAAGGACACCTTACCCAGCAGCAGTTACACAGCTGATCAATGAGGATTTGTTCAGGCTTCTGCCTGCATTCATTCACTTTATCCAGGGACAGATCTTTCATTTCCTCTGTCATGATTTTTAGGCCTTTCTCCATCTCTTCTTTCAGAAAGTCAAAATTGTTTATGTCACTAAAGTTTTGACAATTAATGGTATCAAGTGTCAGGTTTGGCCATAATGCACTGGAAAACTCCTCTAACCATTCTTTTATGCCCCCCTCCCTCTTTTTCAGTTTCTCTGTTGCCTTAAACAAAGCATGACTGATTATCTTGTTGATGTCTTCTACATTTTTTCTGAGAATAGTCTGGGCTTTAGTTTTCTGTCTTGTGAAAATGTATTTATAAACCTCTTCTTTAATAAAGGCTTTTACTTGCCTTCTTGGATTTCTGATGTAGGTGATGAAACTGTTAAAGTCTTCTTTCTCTGCCAGAGATGTCAACACATGCTTCTCTAAGTTCAGTCTGTTGCCACTAAATGCTGGGAAATTGCACCTCATCTCTCCAGCAATATCAACCCCAGTCTTGTTACAGACGGCTTCAACAGCAGAGACTTTTAGTTTTTCACACATCATTTCTCCAAACACGACAACAGATGAGCTTCCTTTGCAAAAGCCTCTGAAGATGTTGTAATATTCCTGTTTTTTGCTTTCCAAATAGTTAATCACGTCATTGTTCTCCTTGTATACCTTATCGGAGTCTGAGAGCCAACTTTCTACCCTGTCAAACACATACAGTGAAAGGTCAACTATAAACTCTTTCCTAAATATAAATTTGCTCCCTGATTCAAACTCTTTCACTTTATCTTTAACCACTTTGCCAAGTTCCTGTAATTAAGTTATGCTGTAACCTCGTGCTGAAACAGGTTTGCTCTTAATGATCTCCAGGCAATCTTTTTTAACATCTTCGATTAAGAATCTAATTGTTTCCTGTTCTTCATGCTGAAAATGATTTAATTTACTTTCATTCGTATTTTTTTGAGTTTTTGATTCCTTTTTAAAATAAGGAAAGAAACCTTTTATTTTCTGTAAAAATGAATCATTTTTGCTCACTGGTTCTGTCTTGCTTTCCTGAGATTGTTGACTTACCTTGGAGCAACTTATAGACTGCTTTTTTGTTATATAATCAGAGTAATTTCCTATTTCTGACAGATTTGTGTATGCATTGCTTTTCTTTGACTCACCAATGAGTCCCAGTTCAAGACCTAGATCTAGAAGAACATCTAACTCATCTTCCTGCAAGTTTATGTCCTCAGCTGGTTTTGCATCTGGGTTTGATTCGTTAACCCATTGAATCCAGAGAGTGTTAAACTGTGCTTTTAATTCATCTTCATCTTCTTCTAAGGATTTTAATATAGTAGCAAGCTCTTTACTCTTCAGGAAGAGCTTGTTTTCAAACTCAGTTTTCTTCTTGTCAATCTTTTTTCGAGCTTTATTCTGCCTGATAACGTCATCCAGTTTTCTTTTCACGCCTCTCAAGAGTTCCTCATGAAACTCTCTAATTTTGTTCTCAAATCGTCCCCGCCACTGAACCAGCATTTCTCTGTCTTTGTCATTATCAAAGTAAGCTCCTATACTGTCTGTTACTGCTTTGTAAGTTTCTGTTATTTCATTGGAAAGGTAACTAAGCTCAACTTTGTCCAGCTGCCCCTTTTCAATTTTGGGATAAAGTTGGTTTTCAATGTTGAGCATTTCCCTTCTCAGGGTCCAAGTCCAGTTCCCATACTGGACCTCCAGCTTTCTGTAAACTGCAATTTCTTGGGTGTTTTTGAAACTAAAAACAAAGTTTTCATTCATCAAGGCATTCCACAAGTCCTGAATCTTGGTATTTAAATGTGACAAAAGGATCCCATCAGAAGGTTTAGCCTTAGAGAGGATGATGGTCTTCAGTTCTTGGACACTCTCACTATACCCTGGATTTGGAGGAGCCATTGGTGGACTTCCCTCCCACAACTGAGCAAAGTACTTCACATCTTTTTGTACATCAAATGCGATGACATCACTGAAGCACTCAGCATCACACACTTCTTCTTTAGCAGCTAGTTGAGCCATCTTGTCCAGTGTTTCCTGGAGGCGTCTTTTTCCATCCATGTTTTTCTCTGCTGCTGCGATATCTGTGACATTCTGGTGAACAAACACACAACTTGGAGAAAGCCTGACCTTTTTCATCCTCATGAAAGCCTGCACAACGATCTGCAGGACATCTTGCATCTCAGCTGGATTTTCACCAAAGATGTTGATTAAAGTCATGTTTCCCAGACCAACAACAAATGTTGCAAGTTCATTGTCATGATGAATGGTGGCATCACCTGCTAACTCAAGAGCACGCAGTCCTTCAGTGTCAACAACTAGAATATAGTCAAACTTGTAGTCTTTCTGGATTTCATCTGACAGTTTAACCAGCTGCATGTAAGCACCCTTGGTGCACCTCCCAGCACTCACTGCAAAACTGCAATCCAAACATGGCATTCAGCATTGTTGACTTTCCGCTGCTTTGTACGCCTAGAACTGACAGCACAAAGACTCGCTGGTCACCCAGTTTGTTGATGACTTCCTGTATAAGACTGGAGACCCATATTAAAGGCACATGGCCTGCATCACCATCCATCAGCTCCATTGGGTGTTCTTTTATCATCAGATCTGCAGCCAGCTCAGGGTATTTAGTCCATTCAATCCATAGGCCAAGTGATGATTTTTTCAAAGATTTATGTGCTTCATAGATCTGACCCATTTCTCTGAAGATGTGTTCCAAACCAAAAGTTGCTGATTGGAGCTTTTTTGATAACTTATTAAGCTGAGCTTGTTTGACATCGAAGTTAGCAGATTTGTCATGTTTCCTCTTTAGTTCCAAGACTTCTGACCATGTTTTATCATAATCTTGGAGAATTGAAGAAAGATCATCTGTAGAGAGGGCATCAATCAGGATCTGAGTCCATTTCAAGAAATATTGTCTTTCTTTTGGTGGCAAACGCCTGAGGCTCTCAGTGAATGACTTCATCAGTTCACTATTGGACAGGTCACACTGCTTCTGTCGCAGCTCCATCAGCCTCTGATTTTTCTGACCCTTTTCTTTTTCAATGTGTCCCTTTAGGTTGTGTGATTCTTTTTTGATTTTGCACCATTCGAACCAAGGCTGGCCTTGGCAGGGAAGAAATGTATCTTTTATTTTAGAAACATCCTTCCCTTCAATCAGTTGAACCAGTTTCATGGCAGCAGATTTCCCATTCCTGCAATCCTCTGCATCTTCATCTGCCGATACTCTGGAGTCGTTGGCCAAAGTTTCAAGTTGAAAAGCTGTGTGAGGTCCAGACAAAATGGCTCTTATAATCTCTTTCAGTTCTTCAGAAACATCAGACTGGCTTCTTTCTTTTAGACCCAGTTTGTATTTTTGTGATTTCACCTGAATTGCACTTGAGTCATTGTCAGCAATGAGAATAATCAGAGGCTTTGGGGACTTGTAAAGCTCTGAAATGATTTCGCTACTTTCCTGGCCTTCTTTCAAAGTTTCAACCAGAACAACGATGACTGAGGACTTTTCAGTCAATATTTCACACTATTTTACATTTTTTAGTGAATCCCCATGAAGATTACAAAAGGCAATGCAGTCAGTAAAGAAATCATTTGGTTTTCCAGCAGGGCAGTACCAGGCAATCTCAGTCACACCATCCATCAAACGGCGAGATTTGGTGCTACCTGGACAGTTTCTGTGAAAGAATGTGTTGTGGCGGTCATTGATTAAGACATTCATGAGCTGAGATTTGGACAAAGACATAGAGCCAAGTCGGAAAAATGAAACCATGGGAGTCTGAGCTTTGTAGATCGGCATGCTCTTCATTGTGACAGTGGTTGTATTCTCTTCTACTGTAGCTATTTTCCATGTTTTTGTTATTTGTCTGAATGTCCACAGGGGACACTCAATATTTGTTGTGTCAGGATCAGGGATAAGCAATGGTAAGGCATACTGACATTGGGACAGCTTGGTTATCATTTTCTGTTTAAGGAAGCCATCTGAGCAGCGAAATGCTGCCATTTGAACATCCATTGGATGTACATGACTTTCCTTTGACGGGTTTAAGTCTACACTTGCTGTGAAAAGAGCTGCTAAATCATTTTCATCTGTGACAGCAATTTCAGACCTTGAGATGGACTGTGAGCTTTTCCCATTAGAGTTTTTTTGCTGTACATGTATCTAGCTCTGTAGTCTAACATCAATAACTTCTGAAAAAACATGCAAACCTTATCTTTCTCAGAAATCTCAGTCTGTTTTATAGATGGGCCTACTTTAACAAAGTCCTCTGATGATAGCATCTTTTGATGTTGGTCCTGGAGGTGAAGTCTTCTGAGTAATGTTTCAATTTCTTTATGACTTTTCTTTCCGTTTTCCTCTGAAGGATTGTAGGAAGACTGTAAAAGCAATATCATAATATTCATTGTTGCTAAAAAATAGAAAAATAAAAAGCTATTACTGACCTTTGATTGATTCGACTAAAAGTTTAAAGATAACTAAAGTGTTAATATCGCATTAGGTAGTATTAACTACAATAGGCTACAAATGAATGATTAGACATGCTAGCAATATAAGTAAAACAAAGGCTCTTAAAGCTACAATAAGAATTTCAGGGATTGACTGACATAAATGTAATATATTATACAATAGCATGCTAGCAGTTATCATCTATGCACTGAAAGTCTTAACCTGTATGCTATGACAATGCAGAGACAGACTAGTAACTGTAGAGATCACCATTACACTTGAATAGGACTGTAGCATGTTAGGTCCATATAAAATGTTTATCCTATAAAAACTAGTAAAATACTATTTATAACATCATCTATACAAAACATTTTCTTCTCCTCTTGTTCCATGTTTGTTTTGGTTACAGTGCCCAAAACAGAGGCATGGATCATCTGGACAATAGAGGTAAGGTGAGCAATGTTCTGGAGTTCAGACAGCAGCAGTGGGAAATCAGCTCGACAACAGCAGTTGAGAGAGCTCCATAACAGGGCTGAAGCGGTCAAATTAAATACCTCAACATTAAAGTATTTTAGCTGAGAATTTTAACTGTGTTGAGTAATTTCAACTTATATTGTCACATTGAATA